AAGTTTAATGTAATCATAATTCCACAAACATAAGTTAGACAAATGAAATACTTAATGCTTGTGGTTATAGTTAAGATATTGTTCTGTCACAAAAATTCTCTAGTAATGAAGAGTAACACATCACCATTGATTCATAGTTTGCATATATTTATTACATTAGTTAAGATAAAGAATCTAGATTTACAAGAGATGTCTAAACTTAATGTTACATTGAAAACTTTCAAGACACGATAATGCTATTGTATTAGTCGGTTATTAAGTAGAATTTACCTCTTTCCTGAAATATCTTTAGCATGCACAGTGTCCTCAGACAGTCTTCAAGAAGAAAGAGCAAGTGACTTGGAAGAATACTTTTATTCTTTGTACTCCTGCCAGCATTATTTCCAGAACACTGTAGTTTCACACTTCTAAACTAGTTAATGCAATTTAGGGTGTAATAGTACTAAGTTTCTGCAATTAGATCTTCTAAGACTTTATAGGCTCAGTACATTTGACCTCACCTTTTGTGGAATTTGTGCAAGGGCTGATGCAATTGCCATAGCCTTTTCTTCTGTCATGTTGCTGACCATTGACCCCAGAGAAAATACCACAACACCATGTTCTCCAGAACTCTGGACAAAGTCTTCTATTTCCTTTGAAGACAGAATTTGTTTCAGCCTCAAATAACAATGGCAGGGGAAGTACTATGGAGAAAATGCTATGAAACTATTTTGATTAAAAATCAAATATTAATAGAAATTAGTAGAGGTATAATGAAAGGTAAAATACAGATAACACAAAACTTTCCTTCTTACATAGTTCTTAAATCAGTGTTACAAAGGACTGTAGGTAGAACAATTCTAAAGTTACATAAAAATATGTAAGTTATTTAATTTAAACCCTTGCTTAGCATATTTAGTGTTATCAGAGATTCTTAAGATTCTTAAGGTATTATATGCACAGATATAAGTTATATGATAACTTGTAATGTTGTAAATAGTTAGGATATTTGCAGTGCTTACATCACAATAACTGATACACATAGTGACTGTGAATTCTGATTACTTGGTATGGATGTAAGATAACATGCTGTATAAGTATAGAGATGCCTATTGTTATGACTCATCAGTCATCTTCTAAGATTTGAATTTTGCTTGAGGAAAGGAATACATTCACTGAGCATTTGAAAATCTCTGAGTAACAGCTATTTGTGGAGAAGGCAGAAATATTTAACATAGAATTTGACTTCACAATAGCTTACAGGGAGCCAAATCTTGATTATGAAATATAGCAGTATTTTATTAATTATTGTCATAGACTGTGACTCATTGCTTTGTCTTCTTTTCCCACTTTTATTCAATGATAATAATACTGTAAGTTTCCCTTTATTGGAACTTCAATACTTCAGGTAACAGAATATTTTCTGCAACAACTAATATAATATTGAATCAATCTATGGACTTTGAAAAGTTATTATGGATAGCCTTATGAATTTAAATTGAAGAGTAGTATTTGGTTTTGTTCAATAAAAGACTATAATTCTATTAGCAGGAAGAATTCTTTTATAAATTAAATTTAGTGATTATCATCACTGAAAATAAGAAGAATATTATGTTTACGCATGCAGTGCATATTTTCTCTGTGGTTATTTTATTACTTAGCTGTGATATCAAGAAAAACACTACTCAAAAAAGCTTTAGTGCAGTGGTTCTCAACTTGTGAGTTGTGACTTGTTTGAAGTGGCCTAATACTATCAGAAAACACATGTTTCCAATGGTCTTAGGAACTGAGACACCAATCTTCAATCCAATTCCAGGCAGGTCAACCCACATGCAGATATGCTCACAAATAAGTACTCAGAACTATATTAAAGTGTCTTTCTCGGGAGGGTTGAGAATCACTCTATCCTGAAAGCTTGGCATAGACCTTAAAAATATCCAATAGTAATGTAAATATTCTAATTTATATCCTAAGGAACAAAACTAAGATCTCATTGATGAATTCATTAAATTGCAGAGTGTAAGTAGGAAATACTAGTCTTGCACAAAGTATTACCAAAACCATTTGTAGTATTGTGGAATGTATCTTCATTTGAGCCAAAATACTGGTGAATTACTTTCCATCTCCACCTTACTGTCTAGATGTATACATTTACTTTTAAGCAAATCTGTAAGGTAGTGTTCTATGATTATATTTGAGAATATAACATTAATATTGTGGCATACTTTTTCTATTGAACAAGATACTTAAAGTGTCTTCAAATATATTAGATAATTACTGTAATTAATAAGTATTATAATTTGAAGATAAATTGTTTCCCACAGGATCAGTGCTGAAGGATTTGGTTCTAGATAACTGCAAATTTTTGAAAATTTCTTAGAACCTTAAGAGGAAACCTAAATGGAAGAACTATGTAATGGGAAATATGCATCTCTTGGGTGCTGTATATTGCTCAACCCCAACTTTACTTGCTGTGATCTATAGAATGAGTAGCTTCTGCTATATACTTCAACTGTCATCTAACACAGTCCCATATTCAATAGACTCTGAGATTTTCAGTAATTCCAACTTCTCTTAGCATTGTAATCTTTCCTTTAAAACCAGTTTCCGTAAAGATTTTGTTAAGTGACAAATCTTTTCTTTCCTAAGCAGCTTTATGATGGGGGTGGTTGGCAGAAGTGCCTTGTCTATGCTGTCTTTCCACACTTCAAATCCTTATATTGAGGTGTCCAAACTACTTTGCAGTTTTTCAGTGATGAGGGCAGCTTTCCAGCATGATGAATTTAACGGATTTAATAATGCTGCTTCTTCTGTATATTTCCAAGGTCTCTGTTGTTCCCTAATTGTAGAAATGCAGAAACATGTGACTCTATAACAATTTATCTTTTTCATTGGTAGGGCTCAATACCTCAATTTGTATATCTTTTACACTGAAAGAACTGAAGCAATGAAGTCGAACAATAAAGAAGTCATTGAAAATAAAATAAAATGAAACCAAATAAAAGAAAACAAAAAGGCACTTATTTACCTTGGGCAAGGGTTTGCTAGGTTTGCAGTGATGTCCTCCAATAAAATCAACATTTGGTAAGACTGGGCGAGGAAACTCCAAATCCCAGTAGGACCTAGTAAGCCATATTTCTGCTTTCTTCATCATTTCAGCTAATGTAGTAGGTCTTCCTAAATAGAGAAAATGAGGTGGTCAGGGAAAGGAAGGGAAGAGAGGAAATGATGGCAAGGTTGTCTTCAGAATATACTAAGTTTTTCTGAAAAGTGAAAATAATTTGTGCTCAATTATGTAGAAAATGTGCATTTATAAACAAAATATTTATTCAAGTCAAACATAACTTATTGTGTAATTTTTATGTGACTCATACCATACGTTAATATGTGTTGTAGGCAAACTCAAAAGAAATCTGATGGCTCTAGCTACCTCAGTAAGGAGCCATCATAGACTCATTAAGATAAGTCTCCACAGAATTAAGTCAGCGCTTCCTTCCTTCTTAAAAGATTTGAATGCATTAGGTGAATATATAAACTTATACTCAAGCTCCAGACAAAATAAAACTACCACAGCCATAGACACAACTTGCCCCAGTAATTCTCAACCTATTTCTGAAACATTAGCAACAGCTCCTTGATTTTCAAAGTGATTTCTGAATTTGATGCCTGTGTGAATTCATGACTCCCAGTTCTACCTGTACTTTATAGTAAGAACTTACTGGTTCTTAATATGCTCCTGCTTTTATGTCAAGAACTTAATAGTATTTACTTATTATAAATAATTAGCCATAATACCTGGAAACTGTACAGAAATTATGAGAATAAAAACTTATATTCACCATTAATAGGGCTTACCTCTTTTAAATAGAAAAACTTGAACTTAAAAAAATAGCAAGCAAATTCATGAACAGCCATACTTTAGAAGATTTGATATATTGAGATAGTTACAAACAAAGGAACTTGGAATACAGAGTCATTAGAAACCTCAATTAAATTTTTTGAGTCTGTGTTTAAACAGACTATCACAGAGCAAATCCTTCAGGACGTATATGAAATTCTTAAACAAAGAAAATCGTCTACATAAAATCATCATTAGACTAATTTATATCACTCTCTGTTCTACATATGCTAAGCATATTTCCTTTATACATGAGAAATATTGAGTAAAATGAGTAAGTAATGGCTTATAGCAACCCTGCAAGTTTCACTTGTTGATCACATGACCTCCTCGGTCATTTGTGTACTAAGTGATTCTTTCTGATCAATGATACCCAACTGCCCACTTTTTGTGGAAACATAGTATTACAAATCATTTATTGAGTGTACCTATAAAAGACAAATGCATCTTATTTTAGAAGCATAAAAGAATAAATAAATGTAATGAAACTTAGCCCCCCCATCCAGAGATATAAACGTTAACTTACCCAAAATTTCAGTGTAAAACAGACCCCATTTCTTCTCAGTAAATGGCTCGAACCAAAAGTCAAAATAAAGCATGCACATCATGTTTTCGACCCTCTCCATGAACGTCATTTGACCACTTAATCCTGACATAATAATAGGTACATAGGAAGGTGGGAAGATAAGACCCCCACTATTCTTTTCTATTGCGTAGCCAGGAAAATAGCGAATACTGTACACAAAGGGTATTTGGAGTATTTCAGCTATCAGCTCACCACATGGACCATGTGGATCTGAAAGAAGCACATCAAATTTTGATTCTTGTAGCTTTGTCATAAGAGGCTTGTTCAAAACAGCTTCTTTACAAAGATTTAGCCAAAGATCAGAATATTGCCTATACACTTCATCAAGTGATGGAAAATATCTCAAGCATGTATCTCGTGGTACTTCATTCATCCAGCCAATGACCCACTGTGTGTAAAAAATTTCCAGATCATCTTTACTGATAGATGTAGGAAATGTTTCAAATTTAAGGTCAGGTGATTTTTGGGGATCAAGAAAGATGGAAGCTGAAGGTCTCAGAACTGTCACTTCATGACCCCTCTGTGCAAGTTCATCCAGTATTATCTTTAGATTCATCCAGTGACTGAATTCCATTGGCCATACCAACACCTTCCCACAATTCCCAGGTATAAAGTAGCAACTCATCTGCAGGAGCAACAGAACAGACATCCACTTCACAAGCATCCTTTGAAACTGCAAGACTCCTGTTAATGTAACCTTCTCCTTCATTATAACCTGTTGATATATATATATCCCTTTGTGTTTAATCTGAGTGAAAATTAAGCTGTAAGTTAAAATATAACTTGGGTTGAGCAATGCTGACATATTAAACTATTAGGCATAGCATATTGACTGCAGTTATACATTAAATTAGTTAATGTATGTTAGTGTGTTTAATGTATATTTTGTGATGAAGTATGTTCACTTAGTGCTGTGCGGGAAACGTCCTTTCTGAGAAGATAGAGCACAGGCAGACACATGTATCTGTTCACCCAGAAGAGCAATCCTTGAGAGATCACAGTGAGAAGAGTACCAAAGTCCAACTTGCTAAAGCAACGCCTTTCATGAGAGGTTTTCAGAGCTGGAAATCATTAAAAGAAGCAAATATACTGTGTCAATATTGGTCCTCCAAATGAGACAAAAGGACAATCTCAGATCAAAGCAGTAAATTAGGAAGAAAAAGAGTTTCTGTGTTAGAATATGAATAATTTGAAACAAAAAGGTAAATTTGAAAAAGTTAAAAGAACCAAGTACATATTGAAATTAAACCTGCAAATATTGCCAATATGGATGCTACAGGAGAAAATTAAAAATTATCAAAAATAAGTCTACACAGTTACTTCTGGAAATATTCTTTTTTAAAAAGATAGAGATATTTTCACAAAGATCTTCAGAATATCCTATATATTACATTGAAATCATTATCTATTTCTTGCTAATATCATGATGTCAAAGTCCAAAACAAAGAGTCCTGATATCAACATGAATTATGAATTATTAACCTATTATGTAGAGTTCTTTTAGAGTAAGATAATAATTCTTAGCAAATACCTATGACTATATCACAAAGGTAAATATATTTAAGATTCTCAAAAAGGCAAAGTTAAGACTAGTTATCACACTAGTTATTTTTAAGCAATTAAAATTTTTTGTTAATCTGACATTAATTGATCTCATTTCTTTCCTGGGATTATTTGCTACTATTATCATGATCCACAATTTTAAATTAACAACACTAAAAAGACCATTTCTGCACCTGCAAGTAAAGGTGATGACTAGGAAAACTTCAGGAGAATTCTCTCTACATACATATACACATACACATAATATATACCTATATGAACATGTATCTATTTATCTATTTATCAATCTATTTATCTATTTATCTATCTGAGATTTGTCACTTTAATCCATTATATATTTTATTTTACACTTCATTGATTAAGGTAGATTTTCATAATAACCGAGACCAAAGCTTGCTTCTTCTGTCTCATATATACATAAATATATAGAATGGTGATGTTTAAAGAAAAAGAATGGTCCACCAACACTGGCTCTAATAAACATTTATCTAGTTACTTCAGAA